GCGTACTTTTTCTAATAATTTAGACAAAACAGTTAAAATACTAATTGGTCTTAAATCAGAATATAATTTTGGTTTACTTATTTCAGCTAGAGGTAACACTAATGCTTCCTTCCACGAAAATGAAAAAAAGCATTCTGTGTGACACGCCATCACTTCCCAAGGCATTCGATTTCAGAGACTGGCACATCGATTTTAAATCAGTCATGTCGATTGGTTTAAACTTGAATTGATCACTAGAATAGTGATTCTTTTCATAATGCTCAATCTTCTCTGTGCATGATAAATTAATAAACAAAATTGGAACAGAAGTAATTATTAATGTCAGTAAGGTTCTTTAATTGTAGAGGAATAGGTATTTTGTGACTGCTGGATACGCATTGGTTTTAAAGATCTATAAAATATTCTTGATTCATTTTGTTGACGGAGGGATAATAAATATGCTGCTTTTTCATATCTAATTTCACTTAAAGTTGAATCTCTGAGCTATTTGTCGCGATTCCAGGAATCTTCTGATTTAAACCTCTGTCTCTGTCTTTCATCATACGTTTAAGCTGGGATGATAGCCAGGGTGCATGCGGTTTATTTACACGTACAATTCTTAGAGGTGCATGCTTATCAACAATGAATTTCAGCCCATTTGTCAAATATATCTACGGGATATACAGGGTGACTTCGAAGTTGAGTCATTATTTTAACAGTGAGTAGATCTGATCAAAAGAAATGTTTTTTTCCTTTACCATATTTCTGGTAAAATTAAAGTAACAAAGTTATAGCCCTTTGGAAGTTTGAGTACCGCCCTGTCTCAATAATAATATTATGTGCTCGTGTTTGGCGACAACGGATATAATCCGCCTTATCGGTTCATCGCATCGGAAACAAAAAAGCGAAAGAATTTGGAACGATGTTTTTACAATTATTTCATTCAGTTGTATACAGTCAGTGTCAGTCGGTAGTGAATAGTGGTGTAACTGTTGCGTGGCTCAAACGAAATAAAAAATGGCACATGTTTATGCGGATCGGTTTCCCAATCGAGTGCAACCAACCCCTCGTGCCTTTGTTAATGTAGTACAACGGGTTCGTGAATCAGGTGACTTAAGACCTCACATATGGACGGCATGCCGGTGCTCCAAGACCTCACGATCAAATACAGGTCCGCACTGAAATACTTGTCGGGAGGATACTTTATAAAACAAGGTAAATTTTTTTTTTATTTTTTTTATTTTACACACATATTTTGGTTTATCTTCCTTCTACAATCATTATCTGAAAATTAATGACTCAACGTCAAGTCACCCTGTATAATGCTCCAAGGAAAGTTTAAAACATCATTTTGAAATGATAAAATATAAAAAAATTTTAAAGTCTCTGAATTTAACGAATTTTTGCTTAGGTTTTTTAGACTACAAGGTTGTTTCACAAAATACTAAAAAATGATCGGTAATATATCCATATTTATGGTCCCAGAATTTGAACAGACTCGAAGATCATTGACAAATATGGGATCCAGTAGGCTGCTAGAAGTACTAGTTATTCTAGAGGGTTCTATAATAAATTGATGGAATCCATACGCATTAAAACAATTTTATAATTTGTTGTTTGGACTTAAAAGATTTATATTCATATCTCCAACAACTACAACATATTTGTTCAAAGTTCTCTAATTTCCATATGCTTTCTATGAAACTACACATTATTTTGTCAGTCCTATATTACTTTCGTCAGTACCTTGGCGGTCAATTTCAGAAAAATTGAAATATCTCAAAATCTACTCATAAAAGTGACTGGTCCTGTTTGAAACTGTATATTCATTAGATTACCTGATTCAAATACCCGAATTTGTAGACATTTCACTTGAAAACAAACGAAATATGTCTAAAAGTTACCCAATTTTTGTATATTCACCCTTATATGGATTAATGGACAAACAGACAGACCCACCGAAATGTGGCCTGATGAATAAAAACAACACCGAGTTTTTTTCCGGATAGGAAAACGTTTGTCACCGCCAATTTAGAGACACGAACGCAAA